GGCTGACCTCCCGATTTTCCCGGACATGCCCGGCTTTTGGGGATTTCCCCCCGGACGGGGATTTGAGCCCCCAAAAGCCGGACATGTCCGGGAAAATCCGGACGTATGGTAACCCTAGCGGTACCCGGCCTTGTCTCCCTGGGGAGATAATAATTGTCACAGATCCACACAGCCCGGTGCTCTCGTGCGGCTCTGGAATAGTCCCTGGGAGGAGCCCTTCAGTGCGTCAGACCCCTTCAGTCACACTCTCTCACTGGGGGAGCCCGTTGGCTCCCCTGCCTCCTGGGACTAAACTTTGGAGCCTGTAGCAGCCCCGCTTCAAACCGTGAACTCCCTGCGGCGAGTCGGCCTGAGCTGGACACCGGAGGGAGAGGTGTACCCCCAAAGGGAGCAAGGCACCCCCACCCTCAGCAGCCGCAGTGACTCTCAGCCAGCTCTGTAGAAGCAGGGGGGTTCTTAGCTGTCTGGAACGCAGCTTAGAAACCCCGTGGTTAGCACAGAGAGCAGAAAGTTACAGCACAGTCCATCTGGGTCGGTCCAGACTCGCCCTCTGAACCCTCTTTGGTCCCAGGCCGGAAGCTTCTCCTCCTGCCTCCAGCAGCCCACACTTAACAACCTCACCTGGCCCCTCCCCAGCCCTTTGTCCTCCAGCTGGTCCCACCCGGCTGGCTTCCTGCGGAGGGTTTGGCCATCCCTGGTCGTCAGTTGCTAGGTGTGAAATGTCTGGGCAATTGGAGTGACCATTGTCTTCTCAGGCTCTCCATGGACATGGGGGCCAGGCCAGGCATCAGTCACACCTGCAAAGAGTAAAAACCGTTCCCCCCCACACACACCCAGTTAACCATGCACCACATAGGTGAAACTGAGGCACACACAATAGTCATCCAAAATATTATGAAAAATTCCCGCTTGGTCACAACAATACACAGCAATCGCACCTGTCTTCTTTTTAATAAACCAAACACATTGAGCTCCTTAGCGTCCATCGCTTCGCAAGAGGGTTCACGTCCCATATTATTCCCCTAATCTAGCATAGCCCAGAACTCTCATCTGCTCGGGATAGAACCCTGGAGTCCTGGCTCCCAGCCTCCCCCGCTCTAACCACTATACCCCACTCCCCTCCCAGAGCTGGGGAGAGAACTCACCAGACCAGACTCCCAGCCCCACATGGTTGTTATAGGGCGATGTTCTGAGTGCCAGTAGGTCATCAGGGTGCAGATCTAGAGCGGTCCATGGGGGGCGGATGTTGGGGAGGGCAGATCCAGAGCATCCCGAGGGCGGGGCGGGGCAGGGGAGGGGAGGGGGCTATTGTTTGGGAATGTCGGGGTTGAGGCAGACATTGGCAGAGTCGTTCTGGCCCAGCCTGGCCCCAACACCATCCCTCGCGTCCTCTGTCATCTCCTTGTACTGGCGCTTGAAGAAGTTGAGCTGGTAGGAGACAGAGGGGGGAGATGGTGAGAGCCAGATGGACAGACTCACATTGTGGGTCAGAGGGATGGGGTGTGGGACCCTCTCTCCACCCCCACCCAGCTGGGAGGGCCAGAGGCCCCGCCCCCAGGGTGATGGGCTGTGGGGGAAGGGGTCCAAGCCCTGCCCACTCACCTTGTAGAGAGCTGTGGTGATGAGAGCCAGCAGGACCAGGCCCCCCACGCTGCTGCCCACGATGATGGGCAGGTAGTTATAGACCTCGTAGCGCTCCACCACTGTCTGCACCTGGGGGAGAGGAGCCGTGAGATGGGGACCCAGGAGTCCTGGCACCATCACTTGCCCCTGCTCTAACACACCAGACCTCACTTCCTCCCAGAGCAGGGACAGGACCCAGGAGTCCTGGCTCCCAGCTCTAACCACTAGCCGATGCTCTCTCTATCCCGGGCGCAGTCACTCTGGTACCTGGCGCTGGACGAATCCCTCCTTCTGGGTGTATTTCTTCTCCTCGTATTCAATCCGGGCCTCGCTCACCAGACTCACTTTCTGCTGCTGAGTCTGGAACAGAGAAATTCACCGTCCCTGACTGGAAACTACACAAACCAGCCCAGAGCATCGTCCCAGAGGGACCCAGAGCAATTTACAGGCCATTCACACAGGGATCCCTTGCCCAGCACTGAAATGCAGCCACCTGTGGGGAGGGGCTCAGGGGCTGTTCACATGGGGGGATCCCTTGCCCGGTGCTAGGAGGCAGAGGCAGCTCTCGTACCTGGGAGACCCACTGGAAGCTGACGTTCCCTTTGATCATGAACTCCAGCGGTTGCTGCATTTTCAGGGAGGTGATTCTGCACCGGATCTTCTTACAGGTGGCCACAGAGCAGTCCTGGGGGCGGAAGGATATCGCCGGGTGAGCCAGGGGGTGTGCAGGGGCTCAGCATGGCCATGAGGGTCTGGGTCTGTCTATAGCAGGGATCCCTCCTCCAGCCCAGCCCCCCACTTGCTGTCTGTTAGTGCGGAGGAGAAGGGGCTGCTGGATCCATGCCAGCCTGTACTCACCAGCAGGGGGTGCTCGCTCATCTGCGTCACAAAGTCCTTAGAACCGGGCGTTTCAGCCTCACTGGTGCACTGAGCCAGCTGGGGCTGGGGAGGGAGAGACACGGTGTTAACGGGGGCAGGAAGGGGACATTGGGCCTTTCCCCTCTAGGGGTCACCAGCTACAATCCGGCCCCAGGACAGGGGATTGGCTGGCTATGGTGGGGTGGGGGAACATGTGGCCTATCCCCCCTAGGCAGCCTGTCCCAGCAGGGGGCGCTGTAGGGCACAGCAGGTGTCACTGGGCCCATCTCACACACACACACAATGGCAGGGAGAGGCAGGTACCTTGGAGGGGACGACCTCAGAGGCGTCCCACACCCGGACCCCGCTCAGCTCCACGGGGAACTGGAACGTGACCGAGATGGGGATGCTTCGGTGCCGCAGGTTCTTGACCTGAAAGAAACAGACTCGCCATAGGGCAATGCAGGAAGAGACCCAGGAGCTCTGATCCCCACCCCCCTATTTAACCCACGGACCTCACTCCCATCCCTGAGCTGGGGAAAGAACCCAGGAGTCCTGGTTCCCAGGCCACCCCCACCCCTCTCTGCTCTAACCCTCAGACCCCACTCAAGCAATTCTACTCTATCCCCCTCCTCTGAGCCCTCCCCCATTTCCCCATTGCCCCCATCACACTCTGTGCCATTGGCCTCACCTCATACCGATGTGTCACTGGCACACTTGTCCCTGCCTCCTTGGCAGAGAAGTTGACGTACTTGGTCGACTCCTCGAGGCTGGGGGAGGAAAAAGATGGAAGGAACAAGAGAGACAGGAGTGGGTGAGTGTAATGAAGAGTGACAGTGGGGTGTCATGTCCAGAAGGGGATGCTGTGCTGCAGGGAGCAGGGGGCTCAGTAGGGGGCGCTCTCCAACCTGTCCCCTCTGTCTCCGCACTGACCTACCTGGTGAGGATGATGAAGATGCCGTACTTGATCGGCAGCTCCGCCCGGTGAATCATGCACTCAGTGATGGGGCCGCCATTGTCACTGGAGGGCGGGGAGGGCAAAGGAGAGAGATGTGAAGAGAAACAGCCAATTAACTTTGCAGGGAGAATGCACCAGAGTCCACTGCTCTCCACAGTATTGGACTGCACTGCAAAGAACCATACTTCTGCTCTGTTCCATATATCGCTGTGCCACACAGCACTGCCCTGCATGAAATACCCGTGCCCTGTACCCTAAGTCACTGTATTGCACCATACACCACAACTCTGGGTTATACACCACTGTACTGCACTGCAATATATGTCACTGCAGAACACCCTATTCCATTGCACTGCACCATACATCACTGCACCATACACCATTGGTCTGGGTTATACATCACTGCACCATGGTGCAGCCTACATTGCAGCACTGCGCCATATGTCACTGCCCTAAACCATACTCTGCTGCGGAGCACCGTATGCCACTGCTCTGGTTTATACCCCACTGCACCACCTTGCAGTATACATCAGTGTGCTGTACCATAATCCACTGCGCTGCACTGTACCATATGCCAGTGCTGTGGATTATACAACACTGCATCACCCTCCAGTTTACATCACTGTACTGCACCATACTCCACTGCTTTGGGTATAGATCACTGCACCACCCTGGAGTACAGGTAACTGTACTGTGCCACACAGCCCTTCCCTTAGCATGCATCACTGCCCTTAACCATTTCACCACGGCTGTCTGCCCTGGGGCAGCGTACTAGCCAGCACGGTGCATCATGCATTGGGCTGCATCACACTGCTCTGCCTGGCTTTATAGCATCTGTCACTCAGCACTGCCACACATCACTGTGCTGCACTGCATCCTAGGCTACTGAGCTGCTGTGCCCTCCACTCAATGGCACTGTGACTGGCATCACTGCACTGCATGACACTGCCCCCCCACACACACACCATTGCATTTCACAGTGGAACTGCCATTGCACCATACATCACTGCAATGCCGCATGTATCACTGTATTGCACTGCAGCATACAGCACTGCAATACACCTGACTGCATTTCACTGGACCATACGTCACTGCACTAACCTGCAGTCTGCACCAGGCGCCACATATCATTGCCATCAATGGACTAAACCATGCACCCCACTGCACAGCCCTACACAGCTACCCCTCCGCACTGCCTCCCACACTGCCCTCTGTGGCCTGCACGCCCCCCTCACCTGCTGGTTTGGGCTGCGATCTGCAGACTGTCCCCCAGATCGGCTTTGGGGGAGACATCAAAGGTGGCGATGAAAGTGGCCTGGAAAACACATACGGGGTGAGAGGGAGCCAGGCTCAGGGGCTGGGGAACTGCTAGAGAAAGCAGGGGATGGGCAGTGTCAGGCCACCGGGTCATGGGGGGCAACCCTACCTCAGCCCCACTCCAGAAGATGGGGTGGTTGATGTGGCAGGTGCTGTTCCTCTGAGTCTGCTCCTCGGAGCCCATGGCCGAGCTGCACCTAACGGCCATGGCCCTCCTGTTAGACTGAACACAGGAGACGAGCCAGTGAGAAAAGCAGCCGACAGCGCCCCTGCCAAGCCCCCTGCCCGCTCCCTGCAGCACAGCGCCCTTTGTTGAACCCCCCGCCTGCTCCCTACAGCACAGCGCCCCCTGCTGAGCCCCCTGCCTGCTCCCTGCACCCCATGTCTGCAGTGCTTGGGGGGATTGATGGTACCTGGAGCAGCAGGACCCGGCGGTAGGACAGTGCGGCCGGGTAGAAGAACTGCACCGTGGTGCTGTAGGAATTCTCCCCGCGGTTCTGGATGGAGATGGTGGTGGTGAGTTCGGGGGTGATCCCCACCACCAGGGTGCTCAAGCTAAGGGGAAGAGAAAGGGGTGAGCTTCCTCAGGGAAAGCAGTGCCCCAGCATCACTGCAAGCTTCCTCAAGGCAGTGCCCAGCAGAGGAAACCAGTGCTGTGAGCTCCCTATAACAGTGCCCAGATGGGAACCCCACATAGCCCCTAATGCCGCACTGGGGCAGTGATGCGAGCGTCTTATAAAAGTGCCCAGCTGGGGACCCCAGTGCTGACAGCTTCCTATATTGGTGCCCAGTCAGATGCCACAAGGAAATATGGGCAGATCTCCAGCTGGGTGGTGCAGATCTGAGGCCTGATCAAGCCGGATGGGTCCCTGGTGGAAGTTATCTGGGACGGAAGGCAGAGGGGGTGACTTACCCTGAGAAATTGAAGGAAATTTGTAGTTCATCAGTGCAGACTTTGTCACTGCCGCAGTCCTTCTCAAATGGGAGCTAGGGAGAGATCCCACGAAAGGGAGGGAAGGGTGGTTAGGAGGGGACTGGAGCAAAACTCAGCCAGCCCAGCATTGTCACCCATCAGATAATTTTAATCATCACCACCACCAGCAATACAGTCTGAAACAGCATCACCAAGGACACAACGGCTGCATTCGCCCCTACACTGTTACCTGCACCATTGCATTCTCAACCCACCACCAGCACCAAAACAGTCTGAGCGGACAGCTCCACCAGCAACAGAACCACTATGCCTCAACCAACACTGTCAACAAGTGCCCTACAATCTCAGCCACAACCAGCATCAACATCAACACAGTCTGAACTAACACCACCACCAGCAATATAGATGCAACAACCTCTGCCAATGCTAGCACTTCCACTACAGTCTCAACCATCACCTCCACCACTACCTTGATTAATGGAGATATCCCATCTCCTAGAACTGGAAGGGACCTTGAAAGGTCATTGAGTCCAGCCCCCTGCCTTCACTAGCAGGACCAAGTACTGTTTTTGCCCCAGATCCCTAAGTGGCCCCCTAAAGGATTGAACTCACAACCCTGGGCTTAGCAAGCCAATGCTCAAACCACTGAGCTACCCCTCCCCCAGTGTTGGTTGACATTAAAATGTCAACTAACACTGTAAAATGACATGACCACTACAACCTCAGCTAACAATGTAACCAACACCATTACAATCTCACCAACCACCACTACTAATATAGTCTGAAACAACAGTTACCAGCACAGCCACTGTAACTACAACATGGTAACTAACAGAATTACAATCTCAACCATAACAGAGTGTCAATAGAGTCTGAAAAATAGTCACACACAACAATCACAAACTACACTGTCACCAACACCACTACAACCACTATCACCCATCAGTATATTCTGTACCAATACAGTAACTAACACAACCATTATGACCTCAACCAACACTGTCACCAATACAACTACAATCTCAACACACTCACGACCACAAATACAGTCTGCACCAGCACAAGCAACAAAGCCACAACAACCTGAACCAATACTGCCACCAAGACCATTACAGTCTGAACCAACATCACCCATACCATAATGACTATAACCTCAAACCATACTGTCACCAAGATCGCTACAATCTGAATCCACATCACTAACACAACTACTTCAACCTCAGCTTACATTATCACCAAAACCACTGCAGTACTATCCAACAACATCACCAATAACACAACCAATTCAACCTCACCCAACGCTGTCAGCCACATTACAATTTTACCCATCACCACAGAACAGCAATACAGGCTACTCCAGCACTGCAATCAAACCCACATCCGCTACATCTTTAACACTGTCACAAACACCATTGCCTGGCCCTGGCAGCCTTACCGAGCCTGCAGTCATCACGGTGGAGTCCTCACTCAGGATGGGTCTGAGGCGGCCGGCGGCAGCGATGGGCTCCCCCGTCAGGGTGTAGTTGAGGCGCAGGGTGATGGGGGTCAGGCTGTCCTCAGGGCAGAGCTGGGGAGACAGAAAGACACGTCAGGCCCCTGAAGGGAAAGGGGGTCAGGGGCTGGGTGGGACCCAGAGAGAAGTTTGTTCTCTGGGTGATTTGGGAGAAAGAGGCAGGGTTGGAGGAGGAGACACACCAGGAGGGGAAGGAATTAGGATCCCCCCCCACTCACAGGTAACGTTATCCGGTACGTCTCACATCTTGTCTCGATGCCGAGCCGCAGCTCCCTGCTCAGGACGGAGCCGGTGGCGTCGAAGGCGGCTCGGATCTTCCTCCGCCCGGGGTCCAGGGCCAGGCTGTACTGGATGGTACTGGAGATCCTGATGCCTACGGGGGAGGGGAAATGAGGGACAGAGAGACACTGAGAGCGGGAACCTCAAGGAAAAATGGGACACAGGGCCTTTCCCCTCTAGGGGGCGCTGGCTCCGATCAATCCCCGGGGCAAGGAACTGGCTGGCTCAGGGAGGGAGGGGAGCAGGGGATGGGGTTGGTCTGACCTAGGCTGTCCATGGTGCTCTTAGTGACGGTGAAGCAGACCTCTGCCCTGCTGGCCTCTGTGCTGAGCTGCTCTTGCTCCTGGCAGTCGAAAGCCGAGGTGGGGATCGTGGGGGGCTGGAAGCTGATGGAGACCCCGACTCTGAGCACCGGCCGGGACCTGCCATGGGGGGAACAGAACTATCACCCAGCTGTTCTTTGCAATGGAGCCTGGCCCCCTCCTTCCCCTGAGCCTCCCACCCAGCCTGGATGTGCTCTCAGCATCCCAGGGAGATGGGTTATGGACACACAGCTCTGCTAGAGGAGATGCTGGGGGGCAGAGAAGGGCGCAGCAGAGTTGTCATTGTGCCATTCTCCAGCATGGGGCAGAAGTCACACAGATACACACACACCTTGTCCTGGTGCTGTCTGTGATTGCCATGTGGAGCAGTGCAACGACAGAGTAACTCACCTCAGCAGCAGAACCTGCCCTTGTGCCCCCACCGCGATGTCTGGCAGTCCGTCCCTCGTCAGGTCTGTCCCGCCACTGATGGCCTGGCCAAAGTAGTGCAGCCTGCTGGGAAACAGTGACCCCTCGATGCGCTGTGGGGCAGACAGAGGAGTAAGGGATGGGAAAGGGGCAGCTATACTGTATAATGGGCACTAGGGGGCAGCGGAGGGTGAGGGGTGGGGAAGGGGCGGCTGTACTGTATAATGGGCACTAGGGGGCAGCGGAGGGTGAGGGGTGGGGAAGGGGCGGCTGTACTGTATAATGGGCACTAGGGGGCAGTGGAGGGTGAGGGATGGGGAAGGGGCGGCTGTACTGTGTAAGTGGGCACTAGGGGGCAGCGGAGTGTGAAGGATGGGAAAGGGGCGGCTGTACTGTATAATGGGCACTAGGGGGCAGCGGAGGGTGAGGGGTGGGAAAGGGGCGGCTATACTGTATAATGGGCACTAGGGGCAGCGGAGGGTAAGGACTAAGAAAGGGGCTAATGGCCACAAGGGGACCGTGGGGCCCCTATAACATCCCTTCACTAATGTGTGTTGACCCCACCTCCCAGGAGCTGGGCTCACCTGTCTGTACTGGGGACTGAGGCCTCCCTTTTCCCCATGGAAGATGTACAAGGCCCCGCGATTGTCATTCTCCATGGGGGCCCCAATGGCCACATCTGTCCATCCATCCCCGCTGATGTCCCCGATTTCAGACATGCTGGCCCCAAAGCGCCCGAACGCCTGCCCCGTCTGCCCCTGCAGTGTTCTCCTATGCGTCAGCGTCGCCCCCTGCAGGCCAGATTCAAAGAAGCACATGGAAAATAGATCAGCATCGACTGTGAGGGTCAGTGCCCCCTACTGAGCCTCCCCATGCCTCTCCCAGCAACAGAGCACCCTCTAGTGCTGCATTGGGGCCAGCACACACTGCCAGGTGAGCATCTACTGAGCCCCCGACCCTGCTCCCAGGAGCACAGTGCCCAGGTATCACCGTGTTTATTTTCATAGTATCCCAGCCCCACGGCAGCCCAGGTAAAACCGACCCCAGGCCATCCATCTTTCCCATGGCCCTGCTTGTCTCTCCTACCTGCTGGCTAAACGAGCAAATACAGACTCGTCCTCCATTCAGGGGTGTATAGTATGTGGGGGCTCCGATCAGAACCAGGTCCGTGTTCCCATCTCTGTCAAGGTCCACAGCGCACAGTGTACCCCCGAAATACGAGCCAACCTGGAGGGGCAGATAAGTCACTCCTTCATTTTAGTCACTTTCTCCTCCTTCTTCCACTGGGTTCCTCACTCCCCACCCTGCTGGGAGCAGGATTCCATCCCCATGTTCATTCCGTCCTCTCCTTCACCCGCCCTTTACACACAGCAGGTGGTGCTATTCCTGTAAGTTTTCTTTCTAAGTGAACATATAGGCAGAGGTCGGCAGCATCTTTCAAAGGTGCTGAATGCTCGTTGTGGTGCATTTCTTTTTAGAGGCTGTGCTTGATTCACTGAGCCACTCTGACTAAGTCACTGTTACAAATTCCGTTCAGCTGGAACGTATAGGCAGTTAGACCTTGGAGAAACGTACAGTGTTGGTTGTGAAATTCTTTTCAGACACCGTGCATATTATCAGCAATTTTTAACCCTGTCTCAGTCTCTTTGTATTAGTCTTATGAGTTCTGTCTAAGGCCTGGTCTACACTAAACAATCAGGTCGGTATCGCTACGTTTCTCAGGGGTGTGAAAATCTCCCCCCCCCCACCACCCTGAACAACGCAATTAAACCAACCTAACCCCCGGTGTAGTCAGTGCTAGATTGACAGGAGAATTCTCCTGTCAGCGTAGCAACCACCTCTTGGGGAGGTGGATTACCTATGCCAATGGGAGAAGCACTCCTGTTGGCGTAGGTAGCATCTTCACTGAAGTGCTACACCAGCACCGCTGCCGCACTGCAGCGGCGCTGCTGCAGGGTTTTCAGTGTAGACAAACCCTAAGTGAATGTAAGAGCAGTGGGATACTGGAGACATGCTGACTACGGTATCAGCTGCGGTGCAGTTCTCTAAACCAGTCAAATTTATCCCCTGCCTGAATCTTTCCGCTTGAATCATTCCTGAAGGTGAAGCCAAACACATGGTGTCAAAACCTTACAGGCTTCCTCCAGTCCCCCCACCCCTCACCCCTACACATGCACCATATTGTCTGTAATGCTCCCCATACCTGCTCCCCCTGCAGCTCCCATCTGGGTGTCCATTGTCCGCCATTGGTATCTCGGCTGAATAGGACGACTTTGCCGGTGTGTTGGTATCGAGGGGCCCCGACCACATAGCTGCTCTGCCCATTGGCTGTGACGACCTGAGATGAATAACCTCAAAAGAAGAGAGGGACGTGGGGAGGTGAGATGGGAAATAGCCATACAACAGTGCTGCGCAGGGATCCCTTGCCCCAAACTGAGATGCAGCCACTTCTGGGGTGGGGTGCGGGGGTAGTTTACTCAGGCAGCCCTCACCTGGTACTGAGATGTAGCTGCTGCTGGGGTGGGGTGCGGGGGCTGTTTAAATAGGTAAGGGAAGCTCGGTGGGTTTGTTCTTACCGAGGTAAGCATCATTCATGTCAGTGGAGGTTCTGGATACGTTGATGAAACTCGGCTCCCCGCTGCTCCCGTACAGGTATATTCCACCGGACCAGTCATAGGCTCCCACCGCTCCCAGCACAGGCCCGTCCTAAACCGACACGCACGGCAAAGGGGACTGATTACAGGAAACAGACAGCACAGGAAATATTTACGAGATCTCCCCACCATCTGCAGCACAGCACGGCTTAGCATGACACTGGGGACTGCCAGGGGAGACAGCGCTCCGTACCGAGGCCCCTGCTGGCAGGACAGCACCACTCTCAGGCACTGTGGGAAAAGCACCTCCCATGCTGCTCCTCCAGCAATCTGGGCGAATAAAGGGCCATCTGCCTTTCAGGCACTAACCCAGCATGATGCTACTTAGGCTGAAAGCGCTGTCAGGGCCCCAGCGCACGGCAGTGTGGGACACGCCCTGGGGCAGGCGTCACTCACAGGGGACAGCAGGGAGCTGAATCCTTCCTGAGACATCTCCAGCTGGAAGGAGCTGCCGCTCTGGGACTGGGTGCCTGGGGGCAGAGACAGACAGACAGACATGGGAGAGACCATCATAGACGGTAAAGGCCCCGTGTCCCATTCCCTGAGCCAGCCCTTCTCCCCACCTCGAGGCTGGATTGGATCCAGCGCCCCCTAGAGAGAAGTCCCCGTATCCCATTCCTCAATCCCTGGAGCCAGCCAGTCCCCTGTCCGGGGGCCCCCGGATGAGAAAGGCATTTGGGGGATATATGGAGATAGATCAGTAGATAGATGTTGGATGGGGAAAGAGAGACTATTTGGGGCCTATTTGAGCTCTGGATTCCCAGCTGCTCCCCGTCCCATCTCGGCCTTGAAAACCCATTTCTAGAGCCCCGGGGCCAGTGCAGCCCCTCCCCCGGCTCTGGTACCTTCGATAGCGAAGATCTTCTCCTGCAGCTGGCTCTGGATGCCCTGGAGGGCGTCGAAATTGTCCACCCGGAAGACGTGCTCATTGGTGGGCTCAGAGGCGATCTCCTGGAGCTCCTGTTGGGCAGCAGTGCTGGAGAAGGCATCGCCGACCTTCATGGGATGGAGCAGAGTGCAGGGGAGACCAGGGCATCGGCGTCAGTCATAGGCCAAGAACCTGGGCAAATACCCTCCCGCCCCGAGCCCTGCTGGGGCCTCGAGAGGCCCGGCTCAGCCAGCACCATGTGCCACTCTGGGGTGTGGGCGTGGGATGTACTGGACCTGTGCTGTGATAATCTACACTCTAAGGCCAATCATTGGTTCAACGGGATAATAGATGCCGTGCACTAGCTGACATAAGGATTGAGTGACCGGTCAGCTTGGGGAGGACCAGAGCCATTATTTCAGCCCCAAGTGTGGGCAGAAAATGAAATAACAGTATTGAGAACGGGGTGATTTTGTCCAATCCTGGGTCGGTGGGAGAATGTGTCTCAGCAACCCCTGGGTCAAGTCACCCCACATGCGGGTCACTAACCCTACCCTGCATCCCCTGGCAGCACACAAAATGGCAAGGCCATCGGAGTGGGCATGTGGACTGGAGGGCAGCGAGAATTCCCCACCTTTGACTAGACAACGCTGCTCAACCTGACCAATAGCGGGTGCGGGGAACAGCCTTAACGAGATAGAATCTGGCTAGTGAAACTTCAGCTCTGCTACAGCGCCACACCCGGCTCAGTTACAACCTGGCTTCCATTCGTCTCCAAAACCCTTGTGCCGGTGCCCTCCTGTGCTTGATGGGACTGCTCCCCCCCGCCTCCTCCCCCCACACACACACAATGTCCCTGGACACGGGCTCAGATCCAAGATCCGTACTAATTCTCCGCACGGCCGCAGCTCACCCCGATGGCGTAGCGGATGATTCCAGCTCTCTCAGCCTCAGGGACGGCGTCTGAATAAGAAAGCGGGTCGCTAATTTTCTTCCCATCTGTGATCACAATGAGAACCTTGGTGGCCTCATCCCGAGCGCCTCTCCCAGAGGTGAACAGCTCCCGGCTGGAAAAGGGGGGTGGGGAGGGTTATTGATACGTAACAACACCTAGTGCTCGTCCACTGCTTTGGCATTGCCGATCTCAAAGTCCTTTACAAAGGAGGTCACTGTCATGTCCCCATTTTACTGATGGGGAAACTGAGGCACAGGGAGGGGATGTGACTTGCTTAAAGTCACAAAATAACAAAGGTTCAGAGCGGGCAATAGAACCCCGGAGTCCCGGCTCCCAGCACTTCCCCCCCCCCACCCTCCCCGCCGCTTTAACCTACTTGTCTCCACTCCCCTCCCAGAGTTGGGGACAGAGGCAGAGCCCAGGAGTCCTGAGTTCCTATCCCTTAGCTCACATGTCCTTGCAACCCATTCCCTATGGAGTCAGCACGGGGAGGAGGGCAATACCTACGCCACTTTCTGGATGGCGGTGGCCGTGTGCGTCCAACCCTTGAGCTGCACGACTGCCCTGACAAGGTCATCAGGGTCGCGACTCCTTCTGTACTGGAAGAAGTCGAAGTGCTTTCTAAATCTGTTCGAGTACTGCATGAGGGCAAACTGCAGGAGACAGGAGAGAAGAGAGAAAAACAACCCCAGGGGTGGAGGGTAAGAAAAGAGGGAATCGGACTCAGTTAATGGCTGGGGCAGACAGTCGGGATGTTACTGGTTCTGTGGGAATTTTTTCCTGGTTTTAGATGCAAAATCCATTGCTGCTCCCTGCAACACACTGGGACACTGGGGACTGGGATCAAGTATCAGAGGGGTAGCCGTGTTAGTCTGAATCTGTAAAAAGCAACAGAGGGTCCTGTGGCACCTTTGAGACTAACAGAAGTACTGGGAGCATAAGCTTTCGTGGGTCAGAACCTCACTTCTGAAGAAGTGAG